GTGGAATGGGGAAACTGAGACAAGAAAATGAAGCAAGGCCACACAGTTCGGGCAATTTACAGCCAGCTTGTGAACTGCAAGACTTTACCTTCCCCAGCCAAGGACCGTGAGAGCAGATGGTCTATACCCTCCTCCCTAACCAGAGAGCACACAGCTCAACTCACCCTGGCTGGGAACACAGAGAACAAAGACCCAGTTCATGCTATTCGGCCCTCTAAGCCCAGGGACTGAGGAAGTTGGGGAACAAATAACAAAAAGCCAGACAGAGATATGATAAAGTAAAACAGAACAAAGAATAATCCCAAACTCCCCTATATGCTCATTTGGATGCCTAGCATATTAAAAGTGCATCTGGAAAGCTGAAGAATATCTACTCACGCTCTGCTCTAAAATTCTCACCTGCAGAAAAGGACAAAAAGCCCTGAGGACAAAGACCAATGCAGGCTCCCTGCAGAGCACGCCCAGGCCCCTTCCCGGGCATGAACTTCTTATTTCTAAGGGTCCCCACGAGACTGGCAACCAGGGGAGCAGTGTTCAGCAGTAGCTTGACCCCAGCCCACCCGGACCCTGTCTCCAAAGCCCCTTTCCTCTGACTTCCCAGTGGGTTCAGCAACCCCGCCCCCGACGTTTCCAGGAGCCAGAGCAGAGCACAGCCTGGGTTCTCCCGTGGTTTCTTCTACCCCAATCCCTTCCTCTGCTGCTCTGCCCCCAGCACTAACAAACACCTGTTCAAGCCCATGTGGACTCGTGAAATCTTTCCTACACGAAGTCAAGATCCCACACACTACAGGCCGCCTGAGGCTGACCCGCCCGGGCGGTACCTGTCCGGTAACACTTAGTATCGTTTCACATCACGTATTATTTGTTCTCCCTCTTTCTCAACTCTCTCTCCTATTTCCAGTTCCTTTGCTTCCGTCCGTTCCTTGCCTTCCCTGCCCCCCATTTTCTTTTCCTCCCACCTGTGCCGTAGACCAGCTGCAGGGTTACCGCAGCTCTCACCCCAGGCTCGGTGCGGGCTCGCAAGCAGGCCAGGCCACCAGGCACTTGCTTACTTTGCAGCTCCTCGGGCTCTAAGCACCTCTTTTTCAGGTATTTCCCCTTTTTCCCTGTGAAAGTCCGAGGCCAACTAAACGAGATTGGATCTAGAACCCTTTATTTACCGAGTATCATAGGTCAAAAGTTCTTGGATTTTCTATTTTTAAGAGAGCATAAAAAGTTTCAGTGGCAGAATGTATACTAAAAAGTAAACTATTTTCTCTGTTTTGTTAAAGTTGGGTGATGAGTACATGGTGGTTCATTATACTATTCTCTCTACTTTTGTGTATGTTGGAAAATATTCTTGTGAGCAAAAAACCAGACCTCTCTTCATTGTACCTGACATTCAACACCTGCCTTCTCTTCCTATCACATATTTTCTATTTAATGTTATGGTGAAGAAATGCATTTCAAAATAAAGTCTCATGTTGTACAACTCATTGTAGCATTGTGTACAGTAGCCAAGATGTGGAAAACCCAAGTGTCTTCAGTGGGTGATTGGATAAAGAAGATGTGGTATATATATATGTACGTATATAATGGAATACTACTTAGCCATAAAAAATGATGAAATACAGCTATTTGCAATAACATGGGTGGACCTTGAGTACCATGCAAAATTTATATAATTTTTATTTTTTAATTACACCTCAATAAAGCTGGAAAAAAGTGTCAAACACAAAGGAAAGTTAATTTCTGAAGTAAATTTCTATGACCCCAAGATTAAGTCAAACTTCTTAAAGTACTTATAGACAGACATCTGTGTGCTTTCTCCCTTTTCTATTCTGCGCCGTTTTTACGTCACCGATCTCCTGCTTATGGGATGTGTGGCTCAGAGCAATGGAACTGGTCTACAGCTCTCAGAACTAAAGCACAGTGCTCTGACCACAGTGGACTTAGTCACGAGGAGATGGCGTCACGGTTCAGCTGGAATTCCACACCTGAAGCCTTGCTGATGCTCACCAAGCATCCCGCTGTTCTCACGCAGAACAAGGGAAGTTTTAGAAGCCACTTCCTATGGCACGTGTATCCTAGAGGGGGGAGGGGCATGGCTTCCTGGCTCCTCCGGACAGCTGTGTCCTGCAGACTCTGAGGTGCTGGTGTCCCTCATGACGGCACAGTGCCCCTTCCACGCCGGCCAGCTGCCCATACACAGCACCAGGTGACAGGGTGTTTGGACTGTTCTTGTCTATCATTCCTATTGGAGAAACAACTATACATTAATTGTGCCTTATACTAGGCCATGTTGCCAGTTTTCTATTTATTTATTTTAGATTGAGATTTTTTAGTTTATTTATTTTATTTTTAATTGAGGTATAATTGACATATAACATTACATTAGTTTCAGCTGTACAACATAATGATTCGATATTCGTATATACTGTAAAATAATCACAATAGGTCTAGTTAACATCAATCACCACACATTATTACAAAAATGAGAAATTTTTAACAGATGTTTTGTTTGAATATGAATCAAAACAAAGCCTAGCATTTGGTTATATGTTTCCTTTTTTCTTTTTTAATGTACAGTTTCTCCTTTCTCTCTCTCTCTCTCTCTCTCTTTTTTAATCCTCACCCAAAGACATTCTCGCACTTATCTTCAGATAGAGCAGGAGGGAGAGAGGGAGGGAGAGAGAGAGAGAAACACTGAGGTATGAGAGACACATCGAGTGGCTGCCACCCACACGACCCCAACCGGGGCCAGGGACACACTGCAACCGAGGTACATGCCCTTAGTGAGAACCGAACCTGGACTCTGGTCTGTAGGCTGATGCTCTCACCGCTGAGCCAAACCAGCCAGGGCCGTGTGCTGTTATTTTTAAGATTAATTTTAATTGTGTTATTTAAAAATTTTATGAAAACTTTATGAATGAATCCCTTGAATAAAATGCAGCTACCATGAGTTTGCGTTTCTCAGTACTTCACAGGGAAGGAGTCTGAGCAGGGCAGCATTTGTGTATTTCTGGGACCCTGGTCATAACGTTATTCATTATCATTCTTACTGGAGGATATGTTTATTGATTTTTTTTTGTTTTTTTAGGGAGAGGGGAAGGGAGAGAGGAGAGAGAGATATCGAGAGATCAATTCGCTGCCTCCCCTATGCACCCTTATCCGGGATCAAACCACAACCTAGGTATGTTCCCTGACCGGAAATTGAACCTGCCACCTTTTGGTGCATGGGACAACGCTCCACCCGATTCACACCAGTCAGGGCTCAACATAATTCTTTTTTCTCTTCGTTGTTGAAAGGATTACAGATGTGCCTCTTTTTTCCCCCATTGACACCATCCTTCCCACTCTCCCCTTCAATATAATTCTTATATTACAACAACCCACACACCACCTCCAAAATTCTGGGTTCTTACCTTATAAATCATTGAAATTTGTTCAAAATCCTGTTGCCAAAACTTCTCGGCATATTTGTGTATTTTCAGGTGACTTATGTGGTTTTATACTAAAATTTTTATTTTCTATATCTGGGATCATACCTCCTGATCTCTTTTTAATATACTTTATTTTAGAGCAGTTTTAGGTTCACAACAAAAATGAGTGGAAGGCACAGAGATTCCATACAGCCTCTGCCTCACCACGCACAGCCTCCCAGTACCAACACCCCTACCAGTGTGGTGCCTTTGTGACGACTAAAGCCCTTACCTTGAACCGTCACTATCACCCCAAGTCCACAGTTTACATTAGGGTTCACCCTTTATGTTGTACATTCCATGGGTTTGAACAAATGCATAATATGTGTCCAGCATTATGATGTCATCCAGGGTATCTTCACTGCCCTAAACATTCTCTGTGCTGTTACCTACATTGTCGTGGTCACCTCTGCTTCAGATTCCCTGCAGGTACTGATTCCTTGTCTGCATTATTTAATTACTCTCTTACTTCTACCTCACAGATAGCCTTTATCCTTGAATCTTCTCTACCTCCTAAGGAGGGAATGTATTTTTCATTAAAGTAAAAACTCAAGGTCAAATATTACAACTTCTTTCTGTATCAGGTCTCTAAGCAACCCCTTCATCACTGATACGTCACTGGTTGCTCTAACAGCAGTTCTCAACCTGTGGGTTATGACCCCTTTGGGAGTCGAATGACCCTTTCACAGGGGTTGCCTAAGACATAACAGTAGGAAAATTACAGTTATGAAGTAGCAACGGAAATAATTTTATAGTTGGGGGTCACCACAACATGAGGAACTGTATTAAAGGGTCGCGACATTAGGAAGGTTGAGAACCACTGCCTACCCCATCTCCTTGCTCAGCCCAACCCAATCTCAGCCTCTCCTGTCTAGAGAGACAGAGAAAATCCTCCAGTTAACACATGAAAGAAAATTCATCCATAGCTCTACGTTTGTACCTCTGAAATTATTAAAGGGCTCAGGAAAACAAAAGTGCTTTTCATGTAATATGATCTACTTAAAATTTTTTGATAAAAAAGATCTGGTACATATACACACGGAATATTACTCAGTCGTAAAAAGAATGAAATCTTGCCATTTGTGACAACATGGATGGACCTGAGGGTATTATGCTAAATGAAATGTCACAGACAGAAAAAGGCAAATATCATATGATTTCACTTATATGTGGAATTTAATGAACTGAAAAAATGAACAAACAAAGTAGAAATAAATTCACAGATACAGGAAACAGACTGATGGCTGCCAGAGAGGAGGGGGTTGGGTGGACAGGTGATAAAAAGAAGGGATTAAAATGTAAAAAATTCCAGTTATAAAAACAGTCATGGGGATATAAAACACAGCATAGGGAATAACATTATAATGACTATGTATGGTGCTAAGCTGGTACTAGATTTATGGGGGGTGATCACTTCATAAGTTATATAAATGTCTAATCACTCTGTTGTACACCTGAAAGTAATATTATATGTCAACTGAAATTGAAACACTAAAAAATAAAAAATAAATTTATCAATGATGAGTATAACTAGCAATGGTTTCTTATTTATTTGTATACTATGTATAAGGCACTGCCCATATATCAAGTTACTCAATTCTGTCAATAACTCTGCAAGGAAAGTACTATTGCTCCCACGTACGGATGAGAAAAACAAGGCACAGAAATGTTAGCTGCTTTACCCAGGGTTACAGAGTTTAAAATCCTAGCTCTGAGGTACAGAGTCCTGGATTCCGACTTAGGTTTCTTTGTACGGAACTACGCTTTATCGATGATCATGTTACTTTTACCCCCGTTACACTGGAGCTCCCTGAGGCCTACACGGACGGCAGCCTCAGCCTTCGGCAGCTCCCCCGCGATGGCATCTGGGTGCCCGTGCGGATCGGGGACTGCAGAGCGGCAGCCTCAGCCTTCGGCAGCTCCCCCGCGATGGCGTCCTGGGTGCCCGTGCGGATCGGGGGACTGCAGAGCGGAAAGCTGAGGCGACGGGCTGAGGACAACTTCAAAGGCGCAACGACTCCCAGTCAGGCCACATCCCCTCGTGAAGTGTTGGGCACCCCCAGGAGAGCCAGCGCACCCCCCAGTGATCCTTCACCCTGGAGGGTTTCCACTGGAGACAGCGAATCTAGGGGAGGATCCGCACCCACAGCTGCATGATCCCAACCGTGCTGTGTCCCCCACCCCCGCGATTTCCCTCACAGGCCGTGCTTTCCGTAGCCCGGAGAGGAGGAGAACAGGGCTGGGGACAGTGGGCTGTTCTGCGGCCCCCAGGGCTCACAGGGACACATGGCATTCAGAGAGCCTGACTGGGCTCACTGCCAGGACCACCCTGCAGCCATCGTCACCCCGTCCCGGACACGCCAGGGTGGCACAGGAAAACCCACGTGGTTACCCGGCAGGACTTCACCCAGGGGGTGAGGCAAGCTGCCCCTGTGATCCAGGGCCCCGAAGTGTGCCTGCGGTTCCTACCCCACCCTCTCCGTCTGTCACTACCCCAGTAAGGACAAAGTGTTCGGTCCTCGGGTACCTGCACTACTGTCTGCTCTAATGCTCTCCTGACCCGCTTCCTCTGCCTGGAGCACTCTGACCTCCAGGGTGAGGAGGGGACAAAAAAGCTTTTACTATCATTACTTCTTCACAAATTTAAAGTTTGGGGAAAAGTACTTACTACTGTTACTTTTGAAATTCAAAATTTCTTTCTAGTAACTTATTTCTCTGTCATAACTTTTAACAGCTCTATTAAAATAAATGCAGATTAATTTCCTGGCTTTCATATTTCCCCTATAACAAATTTCCACCAAGGACAGAAGGTATATATTACTTTCATCGATGCCTGAATTGGGGGGGGGGGGGGGGTGGCCAAAGCTGGGAACACAAGGAAGAGAGAAATATTAACCTCAGCTAAGATATCAAAACATCATCAGACTGTACCTGATTTCTTTTGTGTTACTGGGCATAAATCATGACCTGGGAAATGAGATTAAATGGGCTGAAGCATAGGGGCCAGGGTCCTAGTCAGTCCTGAGATAAACAACAGGAGACCCCTTCAGTAAAGACCCGGTGAAGGGGGTTTATTCTTATATGGAGATACTGGTTCAGGGTCACTGAGGACCAAGTAACTGAGGGAATAACCCAGGAATCCCACAACAGGTAACACTTGGGAAAAAAATTCAGGAGTTTGGGGGAGAATTCCGAGAGGTGTGTGAGGTCTGAGGGGGACACGGCGCCTTTAGTCACGGAGAAGGGGGAGGAGGGCTGCGGGAAGAGAGAAGGAACTTGGGGACCTTGGACAGAAAGCAGCGCTGGTCGCCGAGCCCGTCCACTCCTCTGCTCTTGCGGGTGGGCACCTGCAACAAGACAGCTGTGAGGTGCATGCGTCCTGGGGCCCCGTGCTGCCCTTAGGCTGTTCCCCAATTCTACAACTTTTCAACCACAGTCGTGCCCACAACCTTCCCACTTTCCCTCCTCCTGCTTTTATAAATCTGAATACTCACCTCCCCTTCATAAGGGCCCTTGTCTGGAGGCGCCACCTGGGCGCAGGCCCTGGATGATGAGGACGGTGCCCACCACGATGCCCACGAGGCCCACGGCCAGCCCCAGCGCGCAGACCACAGTCTCCGTCAGCTCTGACATGGGGGCCGGAATCTCGGGCTCTGTGAACGGGAGGGTGTGGGGTCAGCGTACAGAGCCCCTGTGCGTGTACACGGGCGGGGTGGGGAGGGGGTTCTGCAAAGACATGGGGCATGGGGCATAGGAAGAGAGTGCAGTCTCTCGTGGGACATCCTTGAAGTGTTAGTTTCAGGTTCATGGGAGTTCGGGGTCGCAGGCAGGACGCTCTGACCTGCCGGATTAAAGAAGGCCCGGAGCGCGGAGCTCACACGCACCCCAGTGCTTCAGCAGCGGCTGGTCCAGGCCCCAGTGCTCCACCTTGCAGTCGTAAACGTCCTCAGCGGACGGGAGGAAGGTGAGGTAACTGAACTTGAGGAAGGAATGATCACTTTTGGACAGGAAGCTGGTTTCGGAAACACCCTCTGTGACTGCGTGCCCATTGCTCAGCCATGTGATGTTGATCACAGGAGGGAAGATGTTGTCCACGGCACAGGTGAGGGTGTTGGGCTCACCCAGCATCACGGGAGACTTGGGGAACACGGTCACCTCAGGAACCTCTACGGTGAGGAAACAGCACTGGCATTAGCATCTCGAGTAGCTCTGCCCTGAGGTTCCGATGGCACCTGGAGGGGCCTCCTCCCTTTTCCCCATCGGTTAGTGGATCAGCTAGTTTCCCTCCTGCTGTGACTGCCTGCTCGCCATCCTGTGCCCTCTGTGGGTCTGCTGCTAAGTTAGGGTGTCTGTGGGACCAGTCCTTGCAGGGTCTGAGGATGACAATATGGGAGCAAGGATCTTTATATTACATGGGAGTATGTGATTCGTAAAAAAGGAGAAAATGAGGGTTCAGCAATTACCATGAGCAGATCTGGGGACTCCTCGGAAAGGAGAGAGTTTTGTAGAGTAGTGAAGGTTCTACCCGAGGGAAGAAGGGAGTGAGGCCTGGTAAGAGGGGCAGATTTAGGAGAGACAGATTGGTGAACACATACTATTGACCGCAGCGGTGGAGTTGGAGCGTTTAATCATGATGTCCAGGTAGTGTTTCCCTGTAGCAATGTTTCTCAGTGCACCCTGGGGGTCAAACCTTCTAAATTCACTAAACACAGGCAGCTGCCACACAGTCTCCTTCTTATTCAGGTCCACGTAGAACTCCTCGTCTCCATCGAATTCATGAGTGTACTGTCCAGAGGAACCGTAGGTCTGGTAGAAGTTTACGCCATAGTTGGCAACGTGGTCAGCTGATGAGGGAGGGTGGAGGGCAGGGAGGTGGGAAACACAGGGAGAGAAAAAGACCTTATTAAACCAAGTGACAGCGAAACTGGCTTTCACACACCATGGGCTCCACCTCGGGCACAGTCTGCAGACACAACGCCCAGTGGCCACCCGGTCCCCGTGGCTGTCCTGTGGGCCTGCAGCCTGCCTTCCCACGCCAACACCGCTGCACAAGAGCAGGCTCCACAGGCTTGTTGACTGCTGTCCCTGCGGCCGGCTCGGCGCCTGGCCCCGTGGGCTTACCATGAACACTGTCACAGGATGAAACAGGGAACGAACGAATGACCATGGCATTAGCTTTCTGTCCCAGAGACTCAGGTCACCTCCATCTGCTTCATACGTTTTCTCTCTCACTTAATTTCTTCATCAGTTAAGAACACATTCATTGTGGATCCTCTCCCTCAGGACTGGCTCAGAACAACATTTTGTATACATGGACTCCTTCCTCCTTTTATTTTTAAACCAAGTTAAAGCACACATGAGATAATTATTTTAAAAGAGTTTCCTTTAACTCTTTAAGAGTATATGAAAGGGTATGATAAGGACAGTGACAATATTACAAAGTACATAAAAAGTAAGCAATTCTTCTAAGGTCTCTGCTTCTGTAACAGTGGTGACCCTTAGAGAAAAACATCTGATTTCTCTGCAATAAAAAATAAAAACATTATTAGATTTTGCATTTCTGTTATTTGCCACCCCTCTTGTTTTTCTTGAAGGACATTACTAAACTTCTCCTTTCAGACTCAGCAGGGACATGTGTGGAGGACTCGAGGTAAAGTCTGGCCCCGCCAGAATGGACAGTGACCTGCGGGCCCAGAGCAGAGGCAGCCCACACAGCTCCGCCCAGGGAGCCTGATGGACACTTGTCTGGGCTTTTCCCGTTTCCTCCTCCCTCCCCCCCTCCCTTCCTGAGCATTGTGAGGACTGAGGAGTAAAACCCAGATCGTGCCTGGTTTCTGCCACCAAGGAGCTTGTTGAACAGGGAGAGTCAGGTGGGTGAGGAGCCGACGTGGGGTACTGTGCTATGTCTCCCACAAATACCTCATCTGCCAATCAAACCAAGTGATATCACCCTTTCATGTTCCTTGGTCTTTATAAGGATCTGTTTTTCTCCCTGAAATTATCCTTTAGGATTTCCTGGACACCTCCAACTCACTCTGGAACTTTCTGCTTAGTTACCAACTCCCTCGCTAAGTCCTCTCAGTAAGCGTATTTTTGACCACATTACGATCTCCAACCCTCCAGGCTACATCCTTCTCTGCACGTTTATCCTCACCCGACCCAGTACCACCCCCTTGGTCACTTCAAAGGCCCCCTCGAAGGCTCCCAGTCCTTGTAGTGAATCTTCTCGACTCCATTTGCAGGCACAGATGCGTGTCTGCTCCTGCATCTGCAGGGCCCGGCGGCAGGCACACGGCTGCTGGAACAGCCGCGCTGCGGGGCAGCTGGACGGGCTCCCTTCACAGCTTCAGCCTCTGGCCCACTGTCCTGCTCAGCAGGGGCCTGCTCCTGGGCACCAGGCTGTCTGCAAGGCCAACCCAGCACCCCTGGGGCGGGCAGCCTGTGGGAACCCCCAGCACTGAGCTCGGGTGCTCACACTGTGCATCCAGGGTCAGCTGCGTTCCCCAGGATGGCAGACTTTGGGGAAGACTCACAGGCACAAAGTGACCTGGGCCCGAGGCTGAGGCGACTGGATTCCATTCTTATGTCGGCCTCTTGGCTGAGGCGACTAAATGACTCCATTTTTATCATCAGTGGACCTTCCTCGATATTTTTCCAATAGTAGGTTAATTACCCCTAGAAGTAAAGGAATTGTGCCTAAGATTAGAGTTGCCCCACGTGTTGGGAGGCATTAGCAGTTTCCAGTATTGGTATTTGCAGGTATTTGCAGGCACTGGTGAGCCGGGTGAATAATGCTAATTTCCACTTCTGTAATCAGTGTCACACCCACTATTGTACAGGTCCTCAGAGGGATTAGGAGGATGGGGCTTCTGTCTTTAAAATCGGACTAGCAAGAAGTATCGGGGCTGCTGATCTGAGGGGAGACTAGGCCCTCCTCAGTCCGCGGGCGAGAATAAAGTGCTCCTTTACAATTTGGCTGCGCGTCTCTGGTTATCACGCTGACACATTATAACAAAAGGTGGCAGAACCCTGTGGGAGTTAGACTCAGCGGTGACCCTGCCGCATTATGACTTGTGAGCCCCAAGCACTACTGCTTAGGCGGGGTCTTTATTTTCCATAAAAATATTAAAAAGTCACATTTTAGGACCATACTGGTATAAAGACAAATATAATGCAGAATATAATCCAGGCTAAATTAAAATCTTTTCTTCTACCCTAAAAGTTCATTTTCTCTTCTAATTCTTAAAGAAAGTAAAACATGTTCCTGGGGCCCCACAGGCTCTCAGGCCCCTGGCCCAGTGCCCCTGTGGTGATGGGACGTGGAGCCTGAGCAGGGCACCCGGAGGGACTCTGACAGGGAAGTGCAGGAGAAACGCTCACTACCAAACCAAGAATGGCGCAGCCGTGGTTTATAAACCGTTGAAGATTAACCTCCGTTTCTCTTCCCCTTGGGGAGCATGTGCACATTCCTGTTTCCCTTGATTTCTGTGAGGTGACACGTACTGTCACTGAGATTGAGGACCACGTGGGAATGGCTGTCTAAGGCATTCCCTGGTGCTGCACCCCCACCCGCTCCAGTTCCCAGCGTGCAAGTGTACGCAAATCACAGACAAAGCAAGGAACCCTTCTTCATGTCCACACAGTACACATAACTCATGAAACTCTTTACCCCAACATAAACTACAGGATGAATACATAAAGAACTCCAAAATTGTTCAGAAAAACTTGGGAGCAATAGTTCATGGATTTTAGTAACAAAACATCCACTGGTGAGCACCAGCCCCTGCTGTGCGAGGCGGTCACCCACAGAGCACTGCAGCCGCACCCAGGTCCAGGGTCAGAACCGGGATGAGTCCGGGGTGGCGGGTGGCACAGAGAATAGGTCCGGACTCTGGTTTCAAAAACAAGTAAGGACCATAATAGTTGGATCTACTCAATATTGAGAAAGTCTGTGAGGAATCTCTACCATGTCTATGCCAGCCTCTACCTGTTTACCCTCCGATTCTGTTTCCCACGTCTTGTCCCCACAGGGCTCAGCGGTGAACTCACCCACAATGTCTTCACCTCCACAGCGACTCATGATGGCGGTCAGGGCGAGGGCCCCCCAGATCCCAGCTCTGTTTAGGATCATCCTCTTCTCAAGGTGGTCCCAGCAGGTGCTGTTCTGAGTTGTAGAGCAATGGTGAGGACCCAGCTGAGAATGACCTGAAATCACCCAAACCCAACCCCCCAGATCCGGTTCTGGCCAATCAGAGAACGCCCCTGTGATGACACCGCAGTTGCCGGCTGAAGAGCTTGTGCTGGGAGGCCGGCGGGATGGGGACTTCCCGGTGGGTGACGCAGCCCCGCTGGAGGGGACAGGGATGCTCTCCACCAGGGGGAGGCGTGAATCAGGGTCTCCTGTCCTGTGCGCCTGCTGGTGGGGAGAGCGGTGGGGATCCGGAGCAGCCACGCGGAGAGCTGAGGTGTCACTAACCTGTGTCCCTCGGGATGTTCTGGGGTACAGCCGCCAAGGTTTCTCCCGGCGGATCCTCCTCCCTCCGCCCAGCGCCCTCCCCATTCCCTGGTCTCCATGTGTGGGTCAGAGGTCTTTCCTTTGGCTCCCATGACGCACCTGGACTCCTCCACATTTTAGGGGACCCGCTCACACCAAAGGGTCTCTGCTGACGGTAGCCAAGGCGTACTTGGCCTTTCTCGGTACATAAATCCTGCTGGAAAGTTCCTTCTCGTGCTCTGGACAGCTCCAGGGTTTGCCGGGCACAGGAGGACGGAGCTCGTGCTGGGGGCAGTGGGCGCCCCGCCTCGCTGCTGAGGGTCCGCGCCCAGGACTCCGCAGGCTGCGGTCAGCGCTGCCGATGGACCTGGAAGGGCACCCGGACACTGATCATATCCAAGGAAGCTGTGCGGGCTCCCTTCGTGAGGTTTTTTTAAGTTTAAAAATGTCAAGTAAAATGTTGAGGGTGGAATGAGGGAATTGCTGTGACTTAGAAAATGGGTTTCTTTCCCTTAATTTGCTGAACCTTTTCATATTCAGTCCTGTCACATGAACATTCCATGTGTGTGCGAGGAACCAGGAATGAGCTAAGGTCACAGGCCGTCACGGGCAGTCATTAGAAGGACACTTTCTTAGTTTCAGAAGAATTGATTTTCTGTATCCTGGAAGCCACAAGTTATGGGGGTTCCATTCAGAGTCAACCACCCTGCCCATGTCAGATGGCCCTCAGCTCTCAGCGCCCTGTCCTGCCTCACAGTGACAGTGACTGTGAAAATGGGGGACAGAAGGCCCTGCAGTGCGGAGCTTCCTGGTGCTTTAACCAGGCCTGGGGCCTCCAGGAGCTGGCCGGGGACTCACAGCTGTTCTGGTGTTTTCCTGCTGAACAGTAGCAATTTAATAGGACAGCGTATCGGACAGCCACTCTGTGACCACGGCGGTCACCACAGAAAACAAGGCCACTCAGTATCCCCGGCTCAACACAGACCAAACATGAACCTTGTCTGAGCCACGAAAATGACCACGCACACGTCTCTCCCCCATAACGTGAATGACTGAGGCTTCTTGTCCAATTAGAGCTTTGGCTCAGCGCTGTCTCCTTCCTTCCAGGTAAGTTCATTAACATACCCAATTATTTTTTGTTGTTGTTAATACTTACCTGAGGACATTTTTTCCCATTGATTTTTAAAGACAGTGAAAGGGGGGCAGGGGGAGAGAGACAGCGTGAGAGAGACAAATCAATTGGTTGCCTCCTGCACGTTCCCCAATCAGGGCTGGGAATCAAACCCATGTCCCTTCATTCCAAGGGCCAGTGCTCTAACCACAGGCCCACACCGGCAAGGTCTAATGATCAGTTTTGTGTGTCAGCTAGGTTATAGTCCCCAGTTATTGAATCAAACACTGATATTTTATAGATGTGATTAAAGTCCCGACCTGTTGACTGAGCAATACCGGTCATCCTGAATAACCCGAGTGAGCCGGTCCAATTCGTTAGAGTCTCAGGCGCAGAGCTGAGGTTCCCTGAGGGGGTGGGTTCCAGTTCCGGCGCAGCTTCAGGCTGTGCTGGGAGTTCCAGCTGCCCCTCCTGACAGTTCCGCCCTGTGGATCTTGACTGGCCTGGTTCCCCACAACTGTGTAAACTGATTCCTTGCACTAATTCTCTGCTCAGACATCTCCTGCTGATTCTGCTTCTTTGGTTCCAACACCCTCTTACTGATGCCTCCCAGTCCCCAGAGTGAGTTTTCTTCCCCGTCGTATCAACTTGCTCATCCACAGGTGTGCTCCCGGTGACCTTTGGCTGGCCACTGACAGCACCTCCTTAGGTTGCTGTGAGGACACAGACCGCACTTGGAGCGATTTCCTAGGGCTTGTTAAATCGACTTGTCCTGCTGTAGCAACAGTCCATTTTCCCAGGAGGACCTGGGAGCTCAGGGAGGCGAAGGAATGTCTCCGGTTCACAGCTGATGGTGTCAGAGATGAAATGTGACAAGGGCAAGCCAGAGTCTTTCCTGTGGATTCAGAACCCAGTGCCCTGGAATCATTAGGACAGACATTTGACCCTATAGGTGGCCTCATTGTTCTTTTTAGCCTCTGCCGCTGTGAATCAAGAGGTTCCACTTGAGACGTGCTCCATATACAGGGTAGTACCCCTTTCTCGCAGTAAACCACATGTTCCATGCTTTTTCCCAGACCCAGACTGACCTGCTGGTACTTTGCAGAAACGACTCAAGATCTTGCTTGGCAAATGAATGAAAACTTTCTTGACAAATGAATGAAAACTTTCTTGATGGTACTCAAATATTTCACCTATAAATACGAGTCTTAAAAAAATCAACTTAAATGAGGAAGTTAGTGTTAAACTTGCGGGATCAGAATTGTGCCCTGAATGGAGTTGAAGGTCCAGCCCAGATCTCACATCCTGTGAACAGAGCGACAGTCCGAGTGCGGCACTGTCCTCAGCTAGGGGACAGCGGAGGAGCTCTGTCCCTAACCCGACTCGTGTCTCCTCCTCCTGCTCCACCCAGGTGTCACACTATAGACTTTGTTCCAGTTGCTTCTGTCTTCAGGTCATAATTTTAGCATGAAGTAAAATTACTAGTGAATTAGACTCAGATAGAGGAATGCTGTAACACTTTGACAAAAAAACTAATTTGTCATCTTTGTCTGATAGCAAAATTAAGGGCCCTTTTATAAATTAATGGTGGAGATAAAATTTAGAGTTTAAAATATTACTTTACCCAACAATTTTCTTAAAAAGTACTCATTTACATGCCATTCATTTCATAATTATAATTTACATCATTGAGAGCCCTCTGAGAAATTATCTAGACAATACTCCTGTTAGTTCTAAGGAACATTTCTAACAGTCTCTAAACACCTGTTTAGATTCTTTAGTTCACATTCTTTAGTTCTGACTTTCCACTACCTTGCCCGACACAGAGCAGTTACGGAGCATCGGTGAGTCCTCACTGTGAGGCCAAGACCTCCACCACCCGCTGTGGATATGGACAGGAGTCAGAGCAGCAAAGCGGAAGGAAGACGGACTCTACTCAAATAGAGAAGCAGTCAACTCCGCCTCTGGATTTATTGGCTGCATCAGCTTGGGCAAGTCACTCAGAATATGTGAGCCTGAGGGTTCTTTTCTATAAATGGGGTGAAAACTATTGCATGATAGTTAATATGATGATGTGAAATTATAACTATTTACAAATTATACGGTTTAAATATAGTTCAGTGCCTGGCACACAACAAGTACTCCCAGATGACAACTACTATACTATACACGTGTTAATAGAGATAATGGTGCTGATAACATCGTGCCCAGGCCTGCGGGGCCCATGGGTTTCCCTCTGCATTCGACCTTCTCCCTGGGGCAGGAGGTGTCTGTGGGCCACAGAAGTCCTGGAAGTCACCCGGAAATAGAATATCTTTGAAGAGGTTACATCAGTGGGAATTTTTCTTTGTAACAATTTACTCCAAAACCTAATGACTTCAAACAACACTTCATTATTTTCTCAGGATTCTGCAAGAGAGTGAACTGTGCTAGGCCCACCTGGGCACCTTCCTGCTCTGGGCTGGGCTCCGGTGTCCTCAGGGGGGCTCCCCCACAAGTCTGTGCCTCCATTGGTTGAGCTGGGGAACTGGGCCTGTCTCTCTTGTGGGTTTGTTACCCAGCAGGCTGACTGAGGCTCATTCCGAAGGTGCTGGAAGGCTCCCCGGTGCAAGAGAAAGCCTGCAGGGCCTCTGGAGCCTACACTGAGAACGCACAGCGTTGCTTCCAGTACATTCTGTTAGTCCAAGCCAGTCTCCGCGCCAGCTCAGACCAAGGTATTTTTCTATTTATCATCAGATAGAGTGGGAGGGAGGGAAGGAGATAAAGAGACAGAGAGAACCATGGATGTGATAGAGCCACATCCACTGCTTGCCTCCCGCAGGAGCCCACCAGGGCCGGGGACAAACCACAGCCGAGGTACGTGCCCTTCATCGGAATGGAACCCGCAACTCATTGGTCTCCCGACTGACGCTCTAACCGCTGAAGGCCAGACTGCATTTCTTGGCAGACAGCACGTGGGCTGTTTTGCGATTTGCCCTGGGTTCTCTGGCTCCTGAGTTATGTGAATGAGTTCGGTGTGTGCCTCGCAGTGGCCCGTATTTGCAGTGGATCGTGCCCGCCCGCCTTTCTGTCACCATATCGCTCCCCCCAAGGAAAGCGGGGCGCGGTTTCGGGGAGGCTGAGCTGAGGTCTGGGAATGCAGCGTGCACAGCGCGCACAGGTCCCCCGTGGCCTCACAGCCGAAAACACAGACAGTGGGAGATTGTAAGTCGTCGTCTATGTTCCGATGATGCAGAGGCCGTGTCCTGATGTCCAGTCACATGGCCCCTCACAACCATAACGGTAGTGAAGCAGATGGGCCTTTTGAACACAGTGATTCTGTTTTCCGGTGAAGATCATTCCCACGGACTCTATCACCAGCCTCTGCTGTGTGTATGAACTAGTGACTTTAAAGGATTCTCTGAAATAAACTGCTTCCTAATGGTTTTTCAATGGAAAATATGAAAAATTGCGTTGATGTGCAGGTCTACTTTCACCTGAGCCGAGGGAAGCTTCAGCTGCAGGGAACAGGTTACGGATGAGGCCAGAGCTTGTGAGCTGAACTGAAGCTGTTCATCT